AAATACTGGAATTGATATTGGACTTCTTATAACAGATGTGCCTTCTCAATTGGATATAGAAAACTATATTATTAAAAGTAATACTGGCTTTCCTAAAACATTTCCCAAAGATATAGATAACCAGGTTTTTCCCGAAAGAATACTTGAGCAATGTGAAACAGCTTTATTTTCACCATGTGGATGTCACACACTTAATTTGTGTGGAAATGATGCCACAGAATGCATTCCTGAAGCCACAACATATTTTGGAACTGTACAAACTGTTTACAACTTGTTTCATTCTAGTCCACAGTGATGGGAAATCTTTCAGAAGTGTATTGGCTGTTCTCTTCTGAATTGCTTGAAAAGTTACAAGCTGGAAGGACTCTCCAAATACATGTGTCTGCCTCCGTATTCTGTTAACAATTCCTGCCACTGCCGCCTCTGCAGAGCGCTCATTCAGCAAACTAAAGCTGATAAAAAATTATCTAAGATCAACTATGTCACAGGGGCGACTGGTAGATTTGGCAAGACTCAGTATTGAGTCTGATCTTGCAAAAATGATTGATTTTGATTATGTGTTTCGCAATATTGCCAGGAAAAAGGCTAGGAAAGCACCTTTGTTTAGCAGAATATAAATGCTATTACATCTCAACTATAATAACTGTTATGAGCTTGTAATCAATCTAGTATTAAATCCATTGCTTATGTATATTGTTTCATTATTGTTTATATACTAATGTGTATTATTGTTTTTATTATCTTTTACAGAAGTACCTGTTCTCTTTTTAATATATTTGCAAGTATGTTTGAATGTAATTAATAAATGTACAAGTATGACATTATTGATTTTTGTGTCTATGTGTAGGTGAGGGGGGCAATATTAGTCTTGTTCCAAGACTTAATAATTCTCTCTGCAGCCCTGGGGGGTGTCCACAGACAACAGTACAGCAAAACTGTCAAAATGGTGGCTGTGATAATTGATCAGAGCTCCTCTGTTTTTTATGTGCAACAGCTTTAGGTTTAGGAACAGAGATAAGTTAGTTGCTTTTCTATTAATACATAATCCTTAAAAGGGCTCTCCTGTAGGGGCTCATGGCCTAATTCAGACTGGAAATATAGCAAAGGAAAATATTTTCCCCAACTCTGCTTTCTCCTGTTTTCCCTACTGGAAATGGCGGTTTGCAACACACAAGGAGGGGATACTTTCCTAAGAGCTCACAATTCAAGAATACCAATGTTAACTTGGATTGCCAACAAAGTCATGTCTGTGACAAAACAGAACACAAAATTGCTGTCTCCTTTGAGCCCAAGTCTCAATGGATCTAGGATTGATGCAGAACCGCATGAACCTCTTTCCTCTTCTTATTCCCATCTCCTTCCTTCCTCCCTCCCTCCCTCCCCTTCTTCCTTGCTTCTCATTCCCATCTCCTTCCTTCCTCCACGCTCAGGAAGGGATGAGGGGAGGGGCAGAGATTGGCAGTATGGCTGGTGGCGATGCTGCAGGCAGCTGTGGCTTTCCCACGCAAGGGCAGGGGTGATCCCAGTGAAAGGGAAGCCTCATGGGCTGTAAGGCCAGGCCGGCAAATGGAGCATGAAGGCTTGTGGCAGCAATCTGGGCCAGAACACGATCAGCCTTAGATCTGACCCACGCGGCCACCCTGGAGCCAGTGAGGGGCCGCCTCGGTGAAAGAGAAGCCTCACAGGCTGCAAGATCAGCCTGGCCAGCAGGGCATGAAGGCGCTGGTGCGGGCACGGCACTGATCTACAACTTTTGGTGGGCAATTCGGGTTGGACCACAGTCAGCCTTAGATCTGACCTGTGGGGCCAGCATGGAGCCTTGGCCCTACCCCTGGGCGTGCGCACAGGAGGCGGTGAGCACTGGCATCCTGGGTGAAAGGGAAGCACTCAGAACACAGTCAGTCTGCGGGGCAAGATGGTCCCCAGGGACACAAGGCCCCGTGCACTCACCGCCCTCTGTGTGCACACTCACGGGGTGGGGGCGGCCCCACAGATTTAAGGCTGACTGTGTTCTGGCCTGGATGGCCGCCATCAGGTTGTAGATCAGCGCCCGGTCAGCCTAGGCTGGGCTAAGGCGCCACAGGCCAGTCCTTCGCTGTTTCCAGGGCAGCCCTGTGGGCCAGATCTAATCACATTGTGGGCCGGATCTGGCCCGCAGGCCTTGTGTTTCACATGTCTGTTCTAACTGTATTGGTGTCATATACCATGGCAGAGAACACTACCTGTTCATTCTGTGTAGAATACAGAAGAGGTTTCCTGTTGCTTCTCTGTATCTCTGGCCAGCTTTTTTGACAAATACTCTTATCTGCTTTCTTCATCATTATTGAACATTTTATATTATCTCTTATTCACTTTGTACATATAATTTTATTAATTTATTAAAGATTTTTTTTAAATGAAGATACAAACTAATATAAAGTGAAAAAAAGAAAAGAAGGACAAATGTCAAAGAGAAAGCTAAAAGTGCAAGAAAGAAAAGGAAAAGGAAAAGAAAAATAGAAAAGAAAGCAGCTACAAAGAAGTAGCTTCTGAGCTTCTTTATGGCAAGGAAGGAAGATGGCTGCCTGAGCTCCGTTGCTTAGGTTTTGAGAAAGAAAAACAACCAAAATACATGGAACCAAAGCCTGGAAATTGCAGGAAAGGGATTGCTGTGCGAGACCAACATCAAGGGGGTGCAGAGAGGTGGCTACCTGGAGAAGCACTGCTTTCGGGCGCCTCTCAGATGGTGCTGCTGCCCTCGGTGACTCCTGCTACGATAACTACGATCTCGGCCCCATTGCTGCGGGGAGCCGTTGGGCCCATGCCGGGCTGTGCCGATATGCCGGGCTGTGCCGATATGCCGGGCTGT